CGGATGGGGGCTCACATCAGTGGAAGTGGCTTGTGGGATAATTGATTCTACCCCCTGCTATCTTGAATGTTTTTAGTCTCTTTATGTATTGGATCTTTTTTTATACAGTCTGATTTTTTAAACTAATTAATGTATTTATTTTTTAAATTGTTTTCAGGGTTTACTCTAACTGTGAGCCATCCAGAGTCACCCTCTGGGGGAGATGGGCAGCATACAAATTTAATAAACAAACAAACAAACAAATACATCTTCACAAATTTGCTCATTCCTTGCCCCATACAGATAGTTCTAAATGTACTTATCCTAACCGTGTTGAATTCAGGGACATTTGGTTGTAAGGACACTTCAAATTCACAAATCCAAAACTATCAAATCTATTTTGAGAGACTGTATTTATTAGAGAGAAGTATAAAGATGTGGTATAATTTTTAAAACACATTGAGCCATAAATATAAGTGATGAATGCATTTTCATTGTCCCAAATAGTTAAATCACGAATTAGAAAATTTCTTATGAACTATAACCTTAATCATTTCTTTGGACTAAAACTATCATCAGACCTCATGCCACTTCTTCTGAATATTTCCTATATATGACTTCCTCTTTAAAAAACAATCAAAAAGAAAAGTAAAAAACAAAAACCCATCTTGACATAAACTCAGTCTTTATAAAGGGCATAGGAGAATTATCCACAAATTCAGAGTTATCTAATTTCATGTTCTTTAATATTTTCTAACTCCCAACTTTGCTTGCTTTCTTTATCCAGTTTAGGTTTGAAAGGATTGTAAGGTGAGATAATGCAGGCTATGTCCTGATTTTGTTCCTAAGATAGTAGCAACTGATCAGTCAAACCAGTTTCCTAATGTCCAAGCTGCATTCTGGTTTGCCCAAAAAAGGGAAAAGAGAGAGACAAGTGAATGACTGGCTGCTCCTGGCATTGATCTTGTTATGTAAGAGACAGGAACACAGGACAGCCCTGGGATTCTTGGAAGAGTAGAGTAAAACCTCTGCTTTAGGAGTCTCTACAAAAAGAGGAGGACACTTATACAAAGACCCAGCTTACCTGATAAAGTAGATACTTGCAGTGCCTATATTATCCTATTACTGAGTAAGTACTTAGTCCCCCCTCCTTAAGCTCTCAGCATGTGCCTATTTAGTCTCCAATAACCTCTTGTGTTTTGACTTCTAAGGAATATTTAATCTCTCAATGTATAGTAGGCATTCTATTGGAACAGATACAGCTCAGTAGTAGCAATAGTATCAATTTTTTAATCAATGCATAAACAGAAACAATACTGTTCTCATAGGTCAGCTTATAAGCAGTATCAATTAAAATGCCATTATGCTTGTTTCATGACAATGTAAATATGTAATTCTTGATTGTCCTAGCCCAGTGTTCCACCAGCAAAGCATAGCATACTGTACTAATAGTCTCTGAGTAACAGCTGTTCCTAAAGATACCCCAGAAGCAGCAATAATGAATTGCTTTTGTATTGCCACCAAAACACATCAAATCCATGGAATCATCTCAATTCAAGCAACTATTTACTTTGACTATTTTTCTTGGTTTTTTTTTTTTTTTATTATAAAACTGTTTGTTGCCTCCAAGGCTGTTTTATGGCATTGTTTGCATTCTTATTTGCATGTACAATGTACAATTGCTAGAGTACAATTTGCTGTGTTTTAATCTACTCTGCTTTCTTTTCAAAGAAAAAAGTAAGATTGTTTGCATCTCTAGCAATTCTATTGAAGGAAGACTAAGTGATATGCGGGTGTTTTCTGTAATTCATATGCATCTAGGGGAGAGGCTATGAGCCAGTGGTGAGGTATGTATTAGGCCTGAAGAAAAAAGTCAAATCCAGTATCCCAGAATCTCAGTTCAGGAAGAAAGGCAAACGAAGTCCTCCGTCTACCAGAGAACCTTGTAAACTGATGCTAGGCCATACTAAGTCAGCTAACCCAGTGATAACACCAAGTGACAACTTTACATCTTCAGTTACATATATGTGCATGAGAATCAAGAGACATGCAAACCCAGTGTGATATTTAGAACTATATGTCCATGAGCAACTAAACCATAAAAAACTGAAGTGCACGTGTACACATTAAAAGGCTCTTCCTTCTCCCAGGAAGGCAGAATATACATAGTATATTCACCAAAACAGGTATCAGAATTATGGACTTTCCCTGATAAAAAGAAAAGGCTGGAGTGTATAAATCTTCGAGAAGAGATTCACAAACCAAGTATTATACAACACAGCTAGGACTTTGGATGAGAATATCTTCTTACTGAAGATGTACACTCTAGGTGAAAAAAAAAACTTCTTAAACAGAATGCTAAGAACTGATCCAAATCTGCCCCAGAGTTGCATTGACATGCTTTATGGCCATAGAGGAATGTGTTATTAGTGTATAACTAAAAAAGCCATTTAGAGTTGAGCCCTTCTGTTTAAACCTGAGAGTTTTATGAGACAGATACTACTGTACACTTGGGATGGGCACTTATTATATGGCAAGGAAATTATTAAAAGAAATGCAGCAAAAAAACTGTATCTGCAAGTGCCAAAAAAAAAGCCTTGCTCTCCATGGAAAAATCTGTTTGGCTGGAATGAATAAAGCGCATACCATACCATGAAGGTTTGTCATGAAAGGAACAACTAGTTGCTGATCATTGCTCTTTCCACACTCCAATTCTCCAAGTTTATTGCTTTATGTAGGACGCATGTTTTTTTTACCACCTCAGACTTGCTCTTTCTTTAAAAATCATACTTAAATAAGTATTGCTATATTCTTGTGATAGGAAAGAAGAACTGGTGGCATGTCTTTCTACTGCCCTCAACTGGTACTTCAGGGGCATTTTCGTTGCTTTCTGCTCATTTTGTTCTCAAAATACAGAACAGAATTAGCAATATGGTTGACTGAGAGACAGAATGCTAGTTTTTGTAGGGCTTTGGCCTGGTCCAGCAGAGTTCTTATGTGCTGTTCAAAAGACTTTTGGATCTTTTTTGCAACAATTTTTGGTCCTTCATATGCTTACTGCTGGGAGTCAGGCAGCATACAGATTTAATGTATTATTATTATTTTCTGTGTTAACTATTATTGACTGTAAGGTCAACCACTTCACCTTCCTTATTGCCATGAAGTAGGCTTTGATATACTGTAAACTCTACCCCATACTCCCTAAGGTTCATATTTCATCTTCCTCCACCAGCTGCTTCATCTCCCAAAGCTGCTCAGTAAACAAGGTTTGTTTGGGATGGCTTACAGAAAGATGCCACTCAGAAGCAATCATATCAACAGCCCAAGACACCTTGTGATAGCAGACATCAACCTAGCTATCAATGGAGTTACCAGCAAGACTGGTGGGAAATTCAAGTGCCCACTGGAATCTGGATAGACCTATAATACATCTGGGGTGGGCCATTTTAATACACACACATATTTATATACATATATACAAGTATGTTAGATACACATTTATGAATGGAGAAATCTCCAGAATTTGTTTCAGCTGCAGTTGGCATACTTAGGATGGGAAGAGGAGCTGACAGTTGTGCAGAATTTTTGTTTATAACTTTTTTCTGGCTATTATACTTTTTGGGAGAGCTGTCTTAAATCAGGGTTGTCTTTATCCAAAAGGTAGTACATGAAATTATTTCAATTTTCTTTCAGTTGAAGCTTTTTAAAAAAAAACTAAACTAGTTGTTGCTGTTTTTCAGCCATGATTTAGTCTTTTCTTTTTCCTTACTTCTGGATACTTGGCCCACAGTGTTCTTTCTTCAGCCTGATTCATAAACCTACTCCTGTACCTGCCCTCACCCAGTATTTTATTCTTGCATCAATAATCAAGACTCATTATTATATAAAATGACAATATGGAAGCATTTCTTGAGCTTAAGCCAAGTAACTTAATAATCTTAAACGGTCTTATAGCAACATAGTTTATAAGATAACATTACATCCTATTACAAAGACTATTATAGACATTTAAACTGTTTTTTCTGAATAGTGAAATGTATGTCTAAAAAAGCCACATGAAAAATATGAAGACCTCCATTATACAGTACTGTGCAAAAGTTTTAGGCAGGTATGAAAAAATGCTGTAAAGTAAGAATGCTTTCAAAAATATATATTGTAAT